TTGTTGGTTGCTATGGCTACGATTTATCCATAGTTTTTATGTGGAACATCTTTCTCATGTGAGCATGATTATATATATATATATATATATATATATATATATATATATATATATATATATATATATATATATATATATATAAAGTGTTTCTCATCCATTAGGTCTGGACACGTGGACGGACAGAATCCATTCCTATTTCGCTCCTGGGCGAAGCATTCGCATGTGAGTGCGATTATATATATATATATATATATATATATATATATATATATATATATATATATATATATATATATAGTCAGGTTCCTGTGAGAACAGGTCTTCCCGTGCGGTCAGTGCGGCATACACCATTAGGTATGTATAAATGCACCACACTGTTCAAAAATACACCATTATGTGTGGTGTATTCTTTTTTTCTTGTGGTGCATTTATTGACATTTCATTCTGATGTATTCTCGAACACTGTATGGTGCATTTATGCATACCTAATGGTGTATGCCGCACTGACCGCACGGGAAGACCTGTTTTCGCAGGAACCAAAAAAAAAAAAAAAATATATATATATATATATATATATATATATATATATATATATATACACACACACACACACTATCAAAGGAAGCACTAGTTAGGAAATGTTGTGCAGTTTTCTGGGTTTTGTAACACCATTCAATCATCTTGAAGGATATATACTTTTTTTTTAAACAAAGGGACTTTATTATTAGCGAACAACCCGAAGAGAGGCAAAGCCTCCCAAATCATAAATCATAGCTAATTTAGCCTTAGCAGGCAAAGGAACAAAATGATTGAAATCTTTGGGAGAACCAAAATTGAGAGCTTCCTCTGCTAGCACATCGGCCACCTGGTTCGCCTCCCGAAAGACATGACGAATAGTAGAGCCCCATTCTAAAAGGCAAGCTCGAACGTGTAAAACAGGTTGGCGTATTCTCCGTGGGATCAACCCCCCCCCCCCCCCCCCCCCGGCGTGGACACACAATTGGCGAGAGTTAGAGAGTCAACTTCGATCAAAAGAGGTCGTGTTGCAGTGGCCTCACACCATAGGATGGCTTTATGCAAAGCAAGAGCCTCCGCTTCAAGTGCTGAGGACGCATCGAGGTGGTAGCACAAACCCACCACAAGGTGGCCTCTTGAGTCTCTTAGGCACGCACCACCGGCAACACCATTTAAAGAGAAAGAAGTGTCGGTGTTCAACTTTAATCTGCCCGACGGCGGGGCCAACCATTTCACCCATATCGTTGTTCGTCGTGGAGGAGAGTAGACGCGGGCGACCAGGCCTTCATCCACCAGAAGCGAACCAGCAGCCCCACTACAACGCGGCTGTTTTGCGAGGGAGAGCAGAAATGCTTCACTTTTGATTCGTTTAATAGTCCTTATAGCGGAGAAAGTTTTTCCATCACATAGGCTCTCATTATAAGAAACCCACATAAACCACAGAATAAGGCACGGGAGAAGAAATGCGAAGCCGCCCATCGCTGATGTATCCAGGAGCCACCAAGCTTGGCACGCCTCACGCACCGAGTTCAGGCTGCGCAGGTCTAAGCCAAAAACACCGTTAAAGTGCCTCCATACGACCTGGGTGCCGCTGCAATGGTATAGGCAATGTTCCAGACTTGAGCTTGCAGCCAGGCAGATAGGGCAGATCGAAGGCAAACAAAATCCAAAGTATTGGATGACATCCGGGAAAGGAAGTAATCGTCGCAATAAATGCCACATAAAGACTGAAATCTTCGTGGGGATTAGAGGCCCCCAGATAGCAACTGATGACAAGCTTCGTCCCGCCTTTGGTCGGACTAGATCATACGCCGTGGAGAAGGTGAAATTCCCATATACCGACGGCACCCACACCATAGTTTCCGTAATAGTATTGTCCTCCACCAGGTCTCTCACAAGCTGCATTCTTCTCCAAGCTAGTGAGGCATAAACTGAAGAGCCACCACTGTAGCGCTGAAACATAAAGGAACTCCACAAGGATCCCCCTCTTAGATAATTGAAGTAGAGCTTTGCTGAAAACGCCTCTTGGATGGCCGCAAGATCACGGACACCCAGGCCGCCCTCGTCAGTCGGCAAACAAACCCTCTTCCACGCTATCCAGTGCCGTTTCGGCCTACCATCAATGGTTCCCCAAAAAAATTTAGCAAATTTTGACTCTATTGTTCTCTCGATCTGCTTAGGAAGAGGCACGGAGGCCATTGTATATAGCGGGACCATAGCCAAGACATGCTTAATTAGAGTCAATCTTCCTCCCGGAGATAGCAACTTTCGTTGCCAGGCAAGAAGCATGTTGTCTACTTTTTCCAGTAGGTGATAATAGTAATGTGTTCTGTTCCTCCCCACGAACATGTTCACCCCCAGGTATCGGAAAGGCAAAGACGAGTGTTGCATAGAAAGAATACGCGACATTGTGGATAACCTTTCCGTAGAGCAGTGCTTAGAGGTGACGAAGAAACTTTTGCTGTAATTGATTTTCTGCCTGGACCCGATCTGATAATGTTTTAGAATATCTGAGAGAGCCTTCAGAGAGCTTGAAGATCCATTAACAAAAATAATAATATCGTCTGCAAATGCCAAATGAGAAATAATGGGGCATCCCAGCCTCGTAGAATACGGAGATAGTAATCCTGTGCCCATTTTCAATACAAGAGAGCGGGAAAGAGCCTCCGAAACAAGAATGAAGAGGAGGGGGGAGAGCGGGTCGCCTTGCTTAACCCCCCGCGTTGGTTGAAAGAAGCCGCAGTTAACCCCGTTAACCAAGACCGATAAGCGCGTGGCCTCCAGATTGCCCAAGACAAGGTTGATGAAAGCCGCAGGGAACCCAAATCTGCCCAGAACAGCCCTTAGAAAGGGCCAAGAAACCCGATCAAAGGCCTTCATCATATCAAGCTTCACCGCAACATTCGCGCCCCGACAGCGTTTGTTAATGTGTTGAAGGAGCTCAAAAGCCAACAACACATTGTCCTGAATGCTCTGTCCCTCAACAAACCCCGCTTGCTCCTTTGATATAATTTTGGGCAGAATATAACTAAGCCGAGAGGTGAGAATACGTGTGAAGATTTTGCTGACAAAGGTACAGAGGCAAATTGGCCGAAAATCCGCGAAGGTTCCCGGGTTATCCTTTTTGGAGAGAAGAACAATCTGGGCGCTTGCCAGTGCGCGTGGTAAAGGCACTCCAGAGAAAAAATCCAAGGCCGCCGCGAAAACATATTCTTTTACAAGGTCCCAGCAGTTACGAAAGAAAAAACCCGAGAAACCATCAGGGCCAGCTGCGCTGTCTGGATCCAACTTCCACACCGCTTCTTTAACCTCCTCACGTGAGACCGGTAGGGATAGAAGAGCGATGTCTGCCCCGATCGGATTCATTGGGAGGTACTGTAAAAGGGGCTCCAATCCGGAGCTGTCCTCCGCCGAGAAAAGCCCTGAGTAAAAAGAGACAGCTTCTTCCTGTATAGCAGATTGAGTCAAAAGGAGCTCTCTTGTGCCATTCTTGATAGCACTGATGCGCTGCCTTCGGTGCCTATTCTTAACCACAGAATGAAAGTAACGGGAGTTAGAGTCCCCATCTTTCAGCCATTTCACCCGGGCCTTTTGTTTCCAGTAGAGTTCCTCATGTTTAAGTGCCTGAAGGAGATCCGCTCGCAGCTTGTGGAGCAACTCATAGTTGACGGGCAAAGGCTCTTCATCAAAAGCATTTTCAGCCTCTGTAGTTTTGATCTCCAAATCCCTGATGCGGTCAAAAATATTCCCAAAAATGTCTCGGTTCCAAGAACGGAGGCCCTGTTTGAGTCTTTTTAATTTGAAGGCGAGGGCACGCATTCCCCCTCATTCAGCTGGCTGATTCCAATTTAAGCTGGCAGTATCCATGAAACTCGGGTGAGTGACCCACATATTCTGGAATCAGAACTGTTTTGGGCAAGACACCATTGTGTTAGCACCACTCAACAGGATTGGCGAATGATCCGAAGTTGTCCTGGCCAGAACAGTTATTCGCACCTCCGTGAAATAATCTCTGAAAGTAGCATTCATCAAATAGCGGTCTAGCCTCTTCCAAACTGCCCCAGCCGTTCGAACACCATGCCAAGTGTATTAACCGCCGAGAGTGGCAAGATCAAGCAGCTCATTGTCAGCAATAAAGTCTGAGAAGTCAGAAATACACCCCACAGTCGGTATAGCGGTCCTCCTATATTCAGAAATGCGTGAGATCACATTGTAGTCTCCTCCCAGGAGAATTGGCCGAGAATCCGTAAGGCAAGCCGCGAGCTGCAACCACAAAAGAGCTCTTTCTGTTCTGGTATGCTTCGCATAAATTGCAAAGAAATCAAAGGAGAAGCCCCACGGGATGTAGCGAGCTTTGCATAGAACAAACTGATCACTGTCTAACACAACCTCGATGTCAAAAGAGTCTGACCAAAGCAACCAGATTTTGGTTTCACTGGATGCAAAACCACCCGAGTAGTGGAAATCTCGAATAAACCTGTCTAATTGATCAGCATCAAGCCATGGTTCAATAATCGAAACAAAGTTAATGTGCTCACGTCGAATTATCCTTCTGAGCCTGCGCCGTGAGGAAAGCAGACCCCGGACATTCCAGCTTAGCAAATTCATTTCAACCGGTGTGAGAAGGAAACTCTAGCGATCTTGCCTGCTGCTAGCCTGGTGGTGATAGATGGAGCAAGTGCAGAGTAGTCCTTCCTGGGACGGCTCTTCTTCTTAGTTACAACAACAAAATTGTCAGGTTGCGATTTCCCAATCTTGGCTGCGAACAGTCTGCTATCCGCTTTCCAAGAGTCAAGCAAAGATTGCGAGAAAGCTCGGGCATTCTGTATATCATCTCCGTCTGATAGATGTCTCGGTAGAGAGTCTGAATGAGCCATTGCACGGACTCCTTGGTCATCAATAAGCTCCCTCCCCAGAGAGGTATTAGCCTCCGGGATTGCCAATGGCGAAGCCGCGCTCTCCGTATTAAGAACCGGGGCAGTACTCTAAGGGGCTGAGCCGTCCCCATGCTCTTCTTCCGACGGACTCGGACTATGAACAGGCCGCCATCTCTTCCTTGGAGGAACCAGTAGAGGCTGCTGGTTAGCTGGAGGCGTCTCCGTTGCAGCCTCCCGGCGGGGTTCAGGTTGTAGCGCCGTCTGCATGTTCCGGCAGTCCACCTGAGAGTGGCCAAATTTGCGACACCCCAGGCAGTAGGGAGGGATGTATTCATAGCTGACTTGTTGGGCGAATCCGCCGTATGAGCCATTAGTGATCCAAACTTGCTTCGGGGGGGTGTTGCAGACATTGAGCTCTATGCAGACGCGCGCCACGGAAGGGCGATTATGAGCAAGAGTGGATGCGTCGACCTTCAAAGGTTTTCCAATTAAGTTGGCAATTGAATAAATTGCTCTCTTATCTTGCAAATGAGGCGGGAGACCTTCAAAGGCGATCCAAACAGGAACAATTGGGGATTCCATATCTGGCCGAAAATCTAGAGTCCATTTGAAAATCCGCATGATGTAGCCCCTGATCGACCAGGACTTTCGAAGCCAGCACCGTTGAAAATCCGTCTCATGATCAAAGTTTAGGAGCACATGGCGTTGATCAATCAGGCCAAGCGAAAAAGCACCACCAAAGACAATTTGATCGAAAGTTTTTCGAAGATCCGCCATCGAGGGCCGGCCTTTTGCGAACTTTCCAACCAAGGCGTATTTGAATTTCTGGGAAAACTGACTCACATCGCGATCTGAGAACGTGACTGCGGGCATGCCCTTGAACCTTTCTGGTGGGCGAAGGGGCGAGGTTTCGTTGGAGTCAGGGAGGATGTCTGCGAACGTGCGAGGTGGGGGCTCGGCGGCCCCCGGCGGTGCCGCCATCTGATCGCAAGAAGAAGCCTAGGGTTGCGGAGCATTTTAACTACCCTCGCGAAAAAATGAATGTGTGATTGAAGGATATATACTTTAATGTACATTAATATAATCTAGTTTCACTTATAACATTTAATACTTTTAATTGTAATACAAAAATGATTTTGATAATTAATCTTATAAAGTTTCATTTTCTCTACTTTTCCCATCATTACATTGTAGATTTGCAAAGAGATCACGTATATGGTAGATAATTTTTCCTTTGTTTTTGGGTACAACTGAAGGAGTTGGGGCCTTAGGGGCTGGACGTTTAATATTTTAACTTAAAGACGAAAGCGAGTGTCACTTGACCACAAGGTTTTGAGTTATTGTATACTATTATCACATAAGTTAGAATGTGTATACACAGTATGTGTGTGTATATAAGATACAAAAAATTTTAACACATCATTTGGTTTAGATTATTTTACATAACTTTAAGAATGTAAATATAGTAATGTTATATTTTCTTCTTTGATTCAAATGAATAAGATTTTAAAACTTTGTTTTTATTATTTTTTGAAACATTTATGCGAATCATATCACACATCTCCACATTTTTAAGTTATGTGATATTCTGGAATGTTATATTATTTGAAAACATCCATTGAACTAAATTCCAAGCATTTAGTTTAGGTTAACTCACATATTATCATAAATGCAAATATTGTAATATCACATGCCCTTGTTTGGTTTAAGGGGATGTGACAATATTTATTTCTAGTTCAGTTTTAGTAACACTTATGAGAATTACATTCTCCATAGAGATTCTTAGAAATATTACATTACCTCTGACAGGATAACTGGACAAGGTATTGGATCCGACTCGGTGCACTTGGTCTAACCCAACAGAGCAATGATGACAACCAAAGCAATCAATATGGACAATGTCTAGCGGTAAAGAGTTGGAATGGTTCTTAGCGTCCAACGCATTACCGCCTCATCAAAGAGCAGTTAAGAAGGAGCGCGCACAACAATTACTGAGGAGCCGGACACTTATGATGAGGAACCGTTGTACTTATTAGGAGGTCGTTAGTACCTATATTATAGTCGTTACAATTGTACTGTATAATAAAGCTGAGCCCATGTAGGGAGACATTCTGATTCTTGTACTAAAACACTTAGGCAATACAATTTGTTACACAATTATATTCTCCGGTAACATATTTACCGTCATTGGTGATTTCATTTAGAGGCGAGATCAAATCTCAAGCAAATACGTTGCACATTTGGAAAAGATGGTTCGTTCAGGATCTAGCAACTCTCACGGCGCCCACGGTTCCCGCAACTTGAATGACAATGGCAACACCTCTGGTGATCTTCGAGACCAACTCAATAACAATCGTGGAGACCTTTGAGAACAGCTCAACAATGGAGGAGCAGGGGCATCCACCCATATTATGGACCTCCATGCGACTGCCCAGGCTATGCAGCAAGCAGCGATGATGCTAGCTCAGATAGTGGCGGGGTTGCAGGGCCAGGTGCTCCCGCCACAGCCCCAGGAAGTAGAAGCGGAGTCCCCACGGAGAGAGAAAACCCACCAGAAGGATACAACCCGTGTAACTAGGGACCTAAGACATCACACCAGGATAAGGGGTCCAGAGGAGGACACTCAAAGAAGTGTACCAGCCAAACAACCAGCCGCCTCCAAGTCTGTCTTGGAACAGTTGGGGGTGAGGGCAACTGCGAGACAAAGATTGGGATCACGGGCCGAGGGGTCATCCACCAGAGGCCATCGCCGATATGGTAGTAGAGTAGAAGAGAGACCACCAAAAGAGAGGGTGGGCAAATCTGATGAGCTGGCCCCGCGCCAGCAGTTTGATGAGTTGGCCCCGTGCCGGACTGCTACGAAGAGGACCCCCGAGGATGGGGTGGTTGAAAAATTGCAAAGGAAGATTGAAGAGTTAGAAAGGAAAGTAGAAGCGAGAGAGCAATCGCCAGAACCCGAGGTGAGGATGGTGGCTCCATTTTCCCAAAGTATAATGGACGCGCCTTTACCAAAGGACTTCAGGTTACCCGCCATCAGAGCATACACCAAGACCTCCGACTCGCGTGTCCAAGAGTTTCATGACGTACTTCTCCACTCTGGATGGGGCGGCCCAAGACTGGTTCAATACCATCCCAGATGGTTCGATCTAAAACTTTGCAGAACTGTCCAAGAGTTTCATGATGTACTTCTCCAGCAACATACAATGCAAGAAGCCGTTTGCTCACCTTTGCATAACAAAGCAAAACATAGGGGATAGCCTTAGAGATTTCCTGAACAAGTGGAAGAAGGAAGTCAACAACGTTTACGATTTTGAGTCCAAGGAGACGATTCTGATATTTGTTCGAGCTTTAAGATTGGGAGATTTTCATAGGCAGTTAAACACCCATCAGCTCGTTCTTACGAAGATCTAATGAGGATGGCCAATCGCTATGCAGAAGTAGAAGAAGTCGACAAGAAGAAAAAAGAAGAGGAGGAAGGCAAGACAAGAGGAAAGTCCGAGAAAATCGGTCCAACCAACCACGTGTCAGGCGCGGCCCCGTCGAAGAACGGAAGTAGGGACCAATCCTCAGGAGAACCCAATTTGATCCTCTTGCATCATTTGACCCCATGATGCGTAGTATATTTGCAAACAAATAATACCCAGAGTATTCGGGTAGTCGAACCACAGGGAGATGGGATACTAAATACTAATTACTCGCTTACTTACAAGAGCTAGTCTGATCGAAACTTGATGGTTGATTGGTTGCATAAGATAACGAGCAAGAAATTAAACAAATATTAAGGTTTCGTAAACAATAGAGCAAAATGGGATTCTTGGGATCACAATGTTTAATCACCTAGTGCCAATTAACATTTGTAATACTTGGTTCGGAAATTAAGATCTGTGTGGGAATGCAAAGTGGAATCGAATTACTCCCGTAATCTCTATTCCTAGTGAATTTCCACTCCCGTGGCTTAAACACCCGATAAGATCGAAGATAAGCATTCAATTATTCCTAATTACTACCATCTCCCGATGAGTAACAATTTGGAATTAACTTTCCCTAATAAGTTCCCCTTTCCCAAGGTCTAACTATTAGGTGCAATCGTGTGTGCCCCAGTTTATGCCCCAATTCCCATTGGTGACACAAATATGACTATGAAGCTAGTAATTTAGGCCTTTAATTACCAACAACAACAGGTTAAGACAAGACTGCAACACAAATCATAAAACCAAACATAAATATATTAAGAAACTAACGAACAAGGCACATAGGTTCATAAACAAATTCACCCAAAAATCCCTAAAGAATCTAGCCACTCATGGTCATAATAACAGTAAATTCAATGCTCAAAGATAAACAAATACCAACGAGGATAAGAGTAAGAGTGAAAGAGTTCTCCCGAATCTTTCTAGCTAATTCTCTATTCCAAAGCTAGTTGTAAATCTTCAAGTTGGTCCTCTTTGTGCTTTGCTCTTGATTGCCTTCAAAACACCCAAATCGCAGAAGAAGAGAGAGACTAGGGTTGATAGAAGATGGTCTTTTTATAGTAGAACCCTGATGGCATCAATTTAGGAGTCCTTTAAGTCAACAGCTGCCCGCGACCTCGACGCGTCGAGCCTCCAGCTGTGCGATGTTTGAGGCTACTGGAAATTTTCGACGCGTCGAGGCATGGGCTCGACGCGTCGAATTGCTGATGCCTCGGCTTCTTCCTCTTTTGATCATTTCGTGCTTGAAATTCTTCCCTTGCTTTCACGCTCACCCTGTAATGGTGAAGAAAAACACTACCGAACACCGTAAGACATTCAAAACAAGTGTAAAAACATAATCTAACGAGAAAGCAAGGTAAACAAGCAATAAATGGACATGATTCAATAACTTTGTTTCTAAAATGAATCAGAAAAGCTATAAAAACATGCACAGATGTGATAACATCACCCCCTCACACTTAAGACTTTGCTTGTCCTCAAGCAAAACACTAAATCAAACCGCAGGTCAAAACACAAGGATCGCTCCCAATTTCTCGTGCACAACTTAGCAAAACCACAAGCCAACTCACTGCAGGACACATGCTTCCGGAGTCATCTCTGCTTGGCACCCGCGTTCTACTCCCAAGCCAACATACAAGCACCCAGATTGTTAGTAGTGGGAAATCTAGTGTACACACGTACTCAGTTAGGTTTATGCAAAACACGACATCAGAAAAACATCCTAGGCTTGCCCTTCCTACTCCTCCTGAACAGAACTAACATTGCATGTAGAGATCAAATAGGTCTTTATTAAGCTTGTAATGGGGCTAAGGGTCACGGTTTATAGGAAAAAAAAGGTAAAGAATGATAACAAAGAGAGAGAATGACACAATTATCCATAGCTTTTCAAAATCTGGAAGAGATGAGATAATCATAATTCCAAGGAGCAACTTCCTTTTAAGAACTTAGCAACTCTTTAGTAAAGTGGGGATCCAAACTCAAAAGCTTTCAATCTCTTTTTTTTTTTTTTTTTTTTTTTTTTCATACTTTTCTTTGTCTTTGGACATCTTTTGGATATAGCAAGATAATTTCAATCCAAACTTTCATGACCCCCACACTTGAACATTTGTAACACTAGCTGCTTTTTATCGTAGCACAACTCCATAAAACTCTTCTTACGGAAAAGATGAAGATAAAAGTTTCATTCTCTCAAGGGTGGAAGGGAAATATTTGGCTAAGGGCTAAGGGTTATGAATGGGGTAAATCATAGAAAAACAATCACAAAAGGGGTAATAAGTGCTTAGCACTTATTATAAAAAAAAATAAGAGGCTCAAAGGGGACACAAAGGATAACACATACGTAGGGACAGGTTTAAAGGCTATGAGCTACCAAGGATGGCCTAAATCATTTCAATATATGCGAAAATTAGACTAAACCCGAGGAGTAATGAGACAAGCCTTCGTAAGCCAACTAATTGTCGGAATTCCACATAAACTTTCACTAACACATGCACTAACCACTAGATCAAA